AAGAAATTGTCATCAGAATTCAAGAATTTGGGGGAGAAAATTGGTGATAAGAATGAAGCATTAATCCTATTGAATTCCTTGCCATAAGCCTACATAAAAGTCAAAGTTGCTCTGAAATATGGGAGAGAATCGATTACTTCAGAAGCTGTAATATCAGCTATAAAGACCAAAGAATTGGAACTATTAGCATCGAAAAAGGAAAACAACAATACTGAAGGACATTTTGTAAAAGGGAAATTAAAGAATAACTGAAAGGATGGAAAACCCCAACAAGAAGATAAAGAAAAGTCCAAAATCAGGTGCAATTATTGTCATAAAATAGGACACTTAAAAGAAAGATTGTTTTTTCCTTAAGAAGAAACAAAACTGGAAAAATAAGAAGTCCAAGCAAGCAGAAGCCTCAATAGGAGAAACAACCTATACATATTCTGACGTGCTTACTACTACAGATCAAAGTGTAAACACAGGAAGTTCACGTGAAAACCAAGATTGGGTTTTAGACTCCGGATGCTCTTATCACAAGACACCATCTCGAAAATGGTTTCAAATTTATAAAGAATGGAATGGTGGATCTGTGTACATGAGAACACATTTGTAATGTAGATGGTATTAGATCAGTTTCTTTAAAGATGAAAGATGGGTCAACAAAGCTGCTCCAAAATTTCAGACATGTACCAAATCCAAAAACGGAATCTAATCTCTCTTGGGATGCTTGATGCAACTGGCTGCAATTATAGTTGCAAAGATGGAGTCATTGAAGTCATAAAAGACTCAAGGTTAGTCCTTGTGGGAGAAAAGTCCAATGGACTATATGTTGTGAAGAGATGCCATATCCTTAGGGGTAGCCTTAATCTCTACAAAAGAAAATTTATCAAAAGGGGACCTTTCCAAAGTACAAGAGGTCTACAAGAGCTTGAGAAACCGGGGATTTTACCACAAGGAATATACAGAGAAGTGAGTTTTTGTGAGCAGTGTATTTTTGGTAAAGCTAAAAAACAAAACCTCCAAAAATCTGAACATACAACTAAAGGAATCCTTGATTATGTCCATTCTGACCGTTGGGGACCAGCTCAAACACCTTCCTTAAGCGGCTCAAGGTACTTCCTAACTTTTTTAATGATGATTTTTCCAGAAAGTCTTGGATATATTTTCTGAAAATCAGGGATTAAACAATTGAAAAAGAACCGATAATGCTTTAGAATTTTGTGGAGAAGAATTCAATTCTTTCTGTAAATAAACTGGGATAACACGCGACAAAACAGTGAGGTACAATCCTTAACAGAACGGGGTTGCAGGAAGGCTAAATCGCACTATAATGGAACGGATAAGATGTCTCTTATCTGATGCTCATCTTCCTGAGAAGTTTTGGGAAGAATCAGCCTCTTATGTCGTGTATACAATCAATAGATGTCCTCATACTACAAATAACTTCCTAACACCGGAAGAAAAATGGTTCAAACATCGGGAAATTAGGCTGAATAGCCCATTTACCAAGGTAGTATTGTTTTTTACAACTTTTTTCAAAACCTATGTTTTCTAATATTTGCAAACATCACCCTGGATACCAAATTATTTTCACTATTCCTCCTTCATCTTATCTTTTTTGTCTCTCTCATCTCTTCCCCTTCCCCTCCCATTTTTCTCCCTCGCTCTATTCAACCCAAAGCCCCATTTTTTCCCTTCTCTTTCCCTTTTTTCATCTTCTTTCCTCCCTCTCTTTTATGATTTTTTATCCTTATTTCCCTTCCCTCTCTTCCACTTCTTTCTTATTCTAATTTTCTGCTATTCTTCCCCTCCGCTTCTCCCTCTTTATTTCCCTCCGCTTCTCCCTCCTTATTTTTTTTCTTCAACTTCGTCTATGTGACTTCATTGTTGGACCTCAAAATTCAAACAACACCAAGACAAACCTCTCTTTTTTTTTCCTGCTGATACGTCTCTCTTACTCCACTCTTACCTCATCGCTGGACCTTAAAATTAAAAAAAAATCAAATAGCACTAAAAAAGAGAATAAATCAAGTAGTAATCCAAGTCAAGTTCACACCCAAAAGAGACAAGATAGAACCACAAAAATTCTCAAATTGCAAAAAAAAAAAAAAGGCAGTTGTGGTTCGTTTAGAATTTTTTTAGGGTTTCAAAATGAGTCTTGTGCCAAGATGTTTATAGAGAAAACTCAAATTGTTGATGTTTTTTAGATAAAAAAAAATCAAATGAGAATGAGAGAGAATGAGAGAGAAGAAAAGAAAAATTAGGAGAGAGGAAGAATGATGACTTTTTTTAAGATATGGAAACAGAGGGTGATGACAAGAGAGAAATCTAAAAAGTGAGTGGAAGGGTAGTGAAAGTAAATTGGTATTCAAGGTGACGTCAACAAAGATTAGAAAACATAGGTTTTGAAAAAAGTTGGTAAAAAACAATACTGCTTTGGTGAAAATTTGTGTTTGGCCGTGTCGTCCACATAAACCAAAAAAAATTTAAACCTCGAGCAGTGAAAAGTATGTTTGTTGGTTTCACAGAAGGCGTCAAAGGATATAGGTTAGGACAACCCATTGAAAGGAGATGTATTGATAGTAGAGATGTTGTGTTTCGAGAAGGAGAAATGTTTATGTATCAAACAACTCAAAATCAGAATAGTACTAAAGAAAGCACAACATTTGAGGTGGAGCTACCCATATTGACCCAAAACCAAAATACAGAAGAGGTTAGTCCTCAAGAAGTAGAGGAAGAAGAGTTGGAGGTTCAAGAAGCTACATCCCAAACATCAGAAGATTTTTCTGATTATTCCCTTGCAGCAATAGACAGAGGAGACAGATCGTTCCACCTAGGAGGTTCAGTAATGCAAATACAATAGCTGCAGCCTTGAGTGTTGCACACTCCCTGGATGATGTTTAGCCATCATGTTTTGGGGGAGCAGTTAGTGGTCTACATGCTAAAGAGTGGATAAATGCTACAAATGAAGAGATGACATCTTTAGAAGTCAATAAAACATGGACCACTACCAAAAAGGAAAAGGCTGAAGATGGCGGGTTGACAGTATGTATAGGTGAGTGCATGTGATTTAGTGGGACAGGAGAATGAACATTTTGTTCTACTTGGCATGGAAATGAAGCGAATGTTTCTGTTTAGGGATATAATGTACCATCACGTGAGTTACTACCACTACCTTGTCTTTCCTTTGGTACAACAGATACATACAAGGGCACTTGAAGGGATGAGGTAAAAACCAAGACTAGTATCATCAAATATATAAAAGTTCAGCATTTGGTACTCAAATTTGTAGATACATTGTAGAACAATATTGAAAATGTCAGGATTTATTCTAGTCATCCTAAAGGTCGCACTGACAAGATCTATATATGTTATTCCTTCATCAACACTCAACCCACCCATAACTCCACCTCAAATACAGTGCCTGTCTGATTCCCTGACCCTCATAGATCACAAAAACGCGAACCATTTTGTTATGCATTACAAAGCACAATTGAAAGACAATTAGAGATGGAAAATAATATATATATATATATATAATAAACTTCAACCTATTTTCTCGCCCGAGGTGGAGTTCAATACGCAACCACGCCTGAGGTGAGTTTAGTACCTCGCCCAAGGTTCATCAATAACATGATTCTCGATCGAGAATCATATCACCTGGCTCGAGAATGACCCGAAATTTAAACCGAACAGTGTAGGAGGAATGGACAAATGGGTTTAAAACAAAATAATAAACGTTATTGTTACTCCGACTATAACAAAAATAAACCAAACAATGACCAAATAAAAACACATCTGTTAAAATGTAGACATCAAGCAATATTATTGAGCAAAATGAAAAAGTATAAAAAATAAATAACTACCTCTTCCAAAGTCTTGAAAATTCCAAAGAGAATATTCACAAAGCTTTTCAGATTTTTTAAGATTGTGCAGAGAGAATATTCACAATAAGGACATATGTTCTCTGAGGTTAGTAATGGCATGTACTGATTGGATACGTACAACTTGGTGTGCATTAAATTGGTTTTGTGGTGAATTGAAGCTACCTCGGGTGGGAATTATTACAACGGTCATCTGTTATATTTAATGACATTATGGTCATTTCACCAGCTTCTGACACATCATCAATGCTAAAAGTAGGATAGTTGGGCACATTTTGAGGGGTAGGTCATTTGAGCATTTGAAAAACTTTTCAAGGTCATTTGAGTCAATTTTCCTGTTCTTCCCGTCTTTCCTTTTCTTTGGTTATATTTCATCAATTCAATAAAATATCCAGTGTACTTACTATATAAAAATAAATAATTAATTAAGACTAAGAGTAAGCGTATCACCAAACGTTTTTTTTCTACACAATGAAAATCTTGTAATCTTTTACTTGTTATTTATTCATTATTAGAAAGACTGCGACTATTTCGGCCTTGCCTCCATTTTGAATCCTCTTCATTACTACAAGTTCTCATAAAGAATAATTTAAGAAATAAACTACACCCATATGGAGATTGGGATTCTATAAAATTAGGTCTTTATGTATTCATTATTGCAATTCAAATAGCTGCTGAGTAGAGTATGGGTATAAGAAAATTATGTGGCTTGTAGTTTGTACATACACCGAAAGTCGATACTTGTGGCTAGACTACAAAAATAAGAGTATTGTTCTTGTATTTCCACAAAAACACTTCAAACCCTTCACTAGTTCAATCCTTGAAGAGATCTAATAAATTTACAAGCATGACAATTATCTAAAAATATTTCTTCCTTTTTCTCTTTTCTGATAACTAGTAGTCTGAAACTTTGTTGAAAAAAAACATGGATGATATCAAGAATTTTTGTAAAATTCGAAACTTGAGACCTCTAAGTCAATATGATCAAATGATTTCAAGCTCTTGCCAACAAGTCACCCCTTGGATTATTTGCATGTACTACTCTGAAATGATATAATCTTTCAAAAAAAAGAGGTAAGATAAATAAAATAGGTGGGTGATACCATTCCCATCTAACAATATGGTTGAAAATATGTTAAAATAAATAACAGATCTAAACTTTTTCTTTTTCTCAGATACATTAGAAATACCATAGAAAAACAAGTATATGAGTTTGAACAAGTTACACACTCGTAATAGCTTACAAAATTGCATTGCACTGCATAAACTACTGGTTCCTTTCAGGCTTCCCTAAAACCTAACTTTTTAAAAAAAATATATATATCTCAGCCCTAATTCATCTCACTAATCAGATCATTGATGTGATCCTCTCTACTACCTGCATCTCCACCCTCCTTGTATAAAGTCTTTTCACCTTGAAGTCCTTCCCTTGGCCTGTCAAGTTCAAAGGGCCATAAAAATGAAATTACCTCCTTAAAGTGTGGGCCCACATTGGCAATTTCGTGAACAATATCCTCCATGCACAAGATGCCATGCTTGCCCAATGCCTGAAATTTACCATCGAAATTAATATGTAGTGAAAGACATTAGAGGCAGTAGAGAAGTTAAAATGATTTTTTCAGTACCTGTTCGATGATGTTATTGTCGGTTATAGGAAGTTTTTGTTTATCTATCTTTGCGAATCCCTTCTTATAGATCAGCTCCTTCACATTTTTAAGATTCGGGTATCTGAAATTGCACTAAAAATTTAGTAACAGTGTAAAACCATGGACAAAAAAGTGCACAACCTAATCAACTATCCATGATCTAGCTAAGTTTGCTTCAACACTACTTAAATACACATGGTTACTCTTTAGATTTAGCATTCCTATTTCCTACCAAGATCTGGACGGAAGAACATCCCAATAATGGACTTGGATTAAGAGCAAATAATATAAGAAAAATGATGGTTCTCGTACCCGTATGTGATGTATGGCTCCACCCTTTGTAGCTTTCCTAGAATACTCTCATTAGCCCTAGCAAAGACTGCACTGAAAATCCGACTTAGCCCGAGCTTATATAAGATCTTCCTCGTCTTAGGATGCATGTCATTCTTGCTGGAAAAAATAGATGTAATTACTAATCTTGAGAAGTTATAAGAAAACGGAAGACAGAGAAAATGAATGTGAAGATACTCTTACCCCTGTATCCGAATTATAAAAATCAATTTTGAATTTGATTGCACTAAGGCAGGTCTTTTTCTCTTTGTCCTGTGCTTCATTTTGACAAGGTCCAGTTCCTATATAACATACATGATTGTATGAAAAGAATGAGAGCGATACTTAATATGTCTACAACTAGGCTAGGCTAGCAGTTAAGCCCACAAGGAGATATTCTAAAAAGCCATTATAACTAATCAGTTCATCAATCAATAGAACAATGCTACAGAATACTGCACCTAAAAACTAATACCAGAGCGAAGCATAATTCGAATAAACAATACTTATGGAAACATGATTGAGAGAAGCTATAAATTATAATATCATCAAATACCAAAAAGCTCTATACTCCCAGTTAACACCTGAAATTCAAGATACATACCATATTTTATTCCACCCATGTGGACTACTTTGAAAAAGTTCCGAGCTTTGACAATTAAAATCTACTACCTCAAAAGTTCGAAGAAATTTTATATGAATTTAAGCCCCACTATCTTAGTAGGTACATGGAACCTAGTGACTAAACTTGCAACTCAAAACAATTGACTAAACCCATAGCTTTCCTCCCGGCTCCCATTCAACATTTTTGCATGCCCAACCTGATACTGTTTTGAACCCAAATTTTATTAAAACAATAATTTGCACATAATAAGTTTAAGTGCTATAGGTCTATATCAATAATCGAATCTATATATTGGTTTGGTAACAAAAACAAGCAGGTTCAAATACGTATTTTTATATCCAAATGCAAACTCTGAAAGATGATCTTTACATGCAATAGATATGTAAAACACAAACATGAAACATATTTCACAAAGAACTCCACAATGGAAGAGTTACCTTAGCACGGTATTCTCTGACAAATTCCTCAGGTAGTTTAATAAATCCATCCTTATTTTTCTTGGAACTGAGCTTCCTTAACTCCAACTGCTGTTTTCTTCTCAGTGCCGTCTCTTCATTGATCTTTCTTTTCTTCAGTATAACCTCTGGTATATATGCAAGCGGCTTCGGCTCCTCTTCCGCCATTGTTGCAACTCACCTGTAGACAAAAATCCGAACTTAAAGCCTCATTCTCAATACCACAAACTCAAATTCATGAGTCAGACACGCATATCTTAAATTGAAAACAATGGAGCTTCCTTTAAATACTGAACTTGCAGTCAATATCAATCATATGAGTGAATGGCCACGGGTATATGGAAGAGAGCATAAAACAAGTTTAAATTTCAAGTGGTGTTGTAGCAGCTAAAGAAAGATTGAAACATATTTATAAATGCATTAACTTATAGAAATAAAGCCCCCGGTGATTTATGGTGCAAATGACAGCAACAGCAAACAGTTAGCTCACATGCACAAAACAGAGCACAAAAGAAAAAGGAAAACTCTTAATCACCAAACCTTAAAATCGAAACTCACAGAATTTTTGGAGACTGTCCAAAAGCATAGTAGTAACAAATTAAAGACTTGAACAGCAAACTTATTTGGCAGGTTTAATGCTTCGAATCATAAATATAATAATTTGTTGAAAATGTTATTAAAAACTGCACCTGATTATATTTATAAGCTGAAAAAATATCATAATTATACTTCAACTCCAATATTACAAACATTAATAACTACAACCGAGGTTCTCAAAATTCATCAACACTCTGAACCATCAAATTTTACAACTTGCAAATACTAAAATTAAAGTTCTAAAACCCTAAAAGAACTAACCATCATTACAGGCACTGAAATGAGAGTACTTAAATTAAATTTAAACAAAAGAAAAAAAACAATCAAATTTTGTTCCCCCCACTCGGACTCTTATCACATGCCCAAATTTCGAAGCATAAAAAATAGTTCCCACACACATGAACCAACTTTGCGAAGGAGACTTAAAAACTAGCGAGACCTTAACCTAAACAACCAGATAGAGGAGTGTTCAGGGAACTAGAGCTTGATCGTGTTTGTATAGCACCAAACATGAATAACGAAGGCAGAAATATGTGCAAATTGAGTCACAATGCAGCAATATGTTCAAGGAATGAAAAAAATGGACTCACCCCACTGCCGCTTAGGATTTGTCCCGCCGTCAAGAGCTGCTGTTGCTGAGTGAATGGTTGCACCGCCGCCACTCGTTTCGCCGGAAAAGACGGGAATAGAGGGTGGCTGAGTTCGAGAGAGCGAGGAAAAGGGCACCTAGGGTTTTCGTGTTGTTGTGTGGGAGGAGGAGAGAGAAGTAGTGGTTTTAAAAAATAAAAATATCTTTATTTTACTACAAAAGAGATAAAATTTATATATACGGGGTACAAAGTGCACGTTTATCTAATATGGTACAGATTTTTATTGATAATTAAAATTAATTCATGCTTTTTTCATTCAAAAATGGTTAAATCTTTTATACTAACTAGTATTTTAATACATCGCACGTTATATATTAATTTTTTTAACATTTGTTGAATACAAGCAAGTTATATATATGCATGATTCTCTAAAAGTGAAAGGAAGAAGGCATGACTTGTAGTTTTGTCGTAAGTCAAAAAGTATATATAAATTACACAAAATTTTGTAATTTTAATCTAATTAATTTTTCTTTTTGAATTCTTATAATTAAAAGATCGTTTATACTGTCACGATCCGAAAAAAAAAAATTTTGGTCAAATTTATCCTTGCAAAATTTAACTAATTACATTATTTGGCTTTTTAAATTTTAATAATAATTAAATAAATCAATTTTTTCTAACTGAAAAATTAATTATATTTACGCAGATCATTATGTCAAATAAATAGGATTTTTTTTTAAGTCCTGTCGTCGTACAGGTTGTTCTCTCTGATTGAGAGGGTGGCGGTTTAGGTGCAAGTTGTGTTGCATTTTGGTCATGGAGGACTTGGTTGATCGAAGTGATGGAAAAAATACATACATGCGCAGCGAAAGTGAGCAAGAATCGAAATAACAATCTAGATGCATAATACAACCTAGGATTAAACATGCATGATCATACATTATGATGCTTAGAGATAAGTAGAGAAAAATACAAACCTTTGTAGCTTTTCAAAAATCTTCAAATAGCTCCAATGAAGGACCACCAAGAGATTTTCCTAGCTATTCTCAAGGCTTGGAATAGAGTGGTGGGACTCTTTTTAGAGAAGGGAAAAATTAGAGAAAAGTGGAGCTAAAAGGAGTTATGTAAGCTTTTTGAAAACACATCAAATGGCCAAAGGTTCCAAGAGATTTCGATGTTTGAACAAAAGCCTTCTTAAATAGGTAAATTACATGCAACTCTTGCATGTCAAAGTTCACCAAAAGCTTACAACACATATTCCACTCATGCATGGCATGACTAAGTGTCAAAATGCATGTC